ACGCCCAGGCAGTAGCCGAACTGCAGGGCGCCGCTCAGCAGCACGTAGAGCAGATACGCGTCCAGCACCTTGAGGCGGCTGGCGGTGCCGCTGCTGTACTCGGCCAGGAAGCGCCGCACCACGGAGCCCACCGAGCCGCCGCCGGACCCCGCCGCGCCCGACATGCTCCCGCCGCCGAGCCGAGCCGAGCTGAGCTGGCCGGAAGTCGCCTGCAGCACCGCAGCGAGTACTTCCGGGGCAAGCAAATGGCCGATGCGCAGGCGCAGTGATTGAGTCCTTCAGTAGAGCTGCGCGAGCGTATTGGGCACTTACACGTCGGCTTTGTACTCAATGCGCATGCGTGTTAGTGTGACCGGCCTAGGGTGCCGACTACGAGGTTTACGAGGCATGCGCACTGTGGACTCCCAGGCAGGATGAAAATGCAAAGCGCTTGCGCGCTCCCGACCTAGCAATAGCAAAGCCCCTCACGTGCGCATGCGTAGACACTCCCTTTCTCCAACCCGTGTTTCTCCATGGTGCAATCAGAATCCAGCGCTAGCTGTTGCTGGGTGGATTGGGGGCTGAGGAAGGGGGACGGGGGACGGGGAACAGGGACTGAGACCCCGTAGTAATGGTTCCGGAAACATTTCGTACCTATAGGGGCATCTGAGGACCCACCCCCATTATACCCCCGTGTGTGTCCCCCACATATACTATTATCCCTTACACCCCTCTGCTCTGCCCCCTTAGAACCCATGTGCCCCCTCTAAACCATCCCCACACACGGCCCCCCATTATAACCCACATGCCCCCCTAAACCATCCCCATCTGAGCCCCCCATTATAACCCAGGTGCCCCCCAAACCATCCCCATCTGAGCCCCCCATTATAACCCACATGCCCCCCTAAACCATTCCCACCCGAGCCCCCCATTAGAACCCACTTGCCCCCCTAAACCATCCCCACCCGAGCCCCCCATTAGAACCCACTTGCCCCCCCTAAACCATCCCCACCCGACACCCCCATTATAACCCACTTGCCCCCCTAAACCATCCCCATCTGAGCCCCCATTATAACCCACACTCGCCTCCCCATTAGAACCCACGTGCCCCCTAAACCATCCCCACCCGACAC